TTGTGACAGGCTTACTGATACAGAGAATAAGAATGTATTTTAAAATCTGCTAAATATATGTTGTGTATCTTGATACATAAAAAATATTGTGTGATGTTGCACTTTTGACCTTGTTGTCCAGCTCTACTGAAACATCTGGCTCATGACTCTGAATATGAATATCTACAGACAGCAGAGTTACATTTCCCAATTATTAAAGATACAAAACATTTTATTGACAGAATCCACAGCAAAGCCACAGAGGAGGGTATTCCCAACCCAGTGGGACAAATACAATTCACGAGACATTTTGTACTGAATCACAAGCCTATCTCTTTGATTTGCAATCAGCATTAGCAACACACAAGCTGATTATAAAGTAGCTCTGATTGCCACGTAAGAGCTGATCCCTCGCGGGATGCTGTTGACGCACACAGCCAGAGCTTGTGATGGCAATTTCCACATGCATGCCTTAAATTCGCAGACAAAATGCTAAAATAAAATGAGAATTATACACAGTGAGTGCAGGTCCAGACACGTGAGGTCATATTTATAATAACTTGCATACCATTCAAGTTTTATTTACATAGAAGTGCTGTTTTTTGTAAAACTGATGAAGAGGAATATATTTCTCTGTCACACTACAACAACAAAAAAAAATACTTACATCCTTGGGGTTTGCTTAATCATCGCTTTGCTGTCCTCATGTCACCTCAGTCTGAGTTTCCTGAATGAGCCACAGAAGTCTAAACTCTGCTGGGGTTTAATCTGCATATTCCTTTAGGCCTATTCTGCAGCTTTTATAGAATATGGACACTAAACGCTTTGCAAAACCCTCAAATTTTATAGGTGCCATCTGACTAAGCAGCAGGAAGACTTCTGACAAAGTGGGCACCACAACTCCCAGAAGTCACATTATTTCCGACTCACACAGAGCACGAAGAGACACGACGCTCTGAACGCAATTAAAAACCTAAAAGTTGTGAGTGTAATTGAAAATCTTTCCCAGAACACTCGTTGTAGAAGCGTGCAGACAACAACGATCTGAACAGACAAAACAGCGGGCTGTCTGAGCCTGGTGCTGGTTGATGGAGAAACAATACCTCCTTCTGTGAGGCCATTCCTACCATTTCACACAAGCTGCAAAGAAAACATTCCCCCTCTTTCTGCTGCTGAAGATCCACATCATGAACACTAAATATATATTTAGGCACTGAACCCTGAAGGGTAAACAAAAATATTTCCAACTGATAACAGGTGGATACTGGAGAAGCATGTGCAAAGAATTTAAAACTTCAGTGAAATTTAAGCACCCTCTGTAGAGAAAAAACATTTCCATTAGAGAACTGAAAATGTAGTCAGTTCATAAAACTTTACAGCATCTAATTAGAGCACAACCTTTCTGTTTATTTAACCGTTTTATTGCCGTTTTACTGTTATCAGTACAAATATATATTATATCGATGTAAATGTTATCATTTATCTTCTGCATCCTTATTGCCAAGTTTGTCCGATTCCCTTGTTGATGAAAAACTATTAAATGAATGAAGAATGTTTAACGGTATTGCAGTAGTAGTTTAGAGTTTACCATGCAAAACTAAATCTGCAACTAAAAGCAGCTACAATTTGGGATAAATAATACTAAAATTAGGTATGCTATGCTAAATTAGACAAGCCGTGCAGGCTTCCAGTAATTTTTAAATATCAAATACTTTTCTGGTCTCAAATTTCTAGATTTTTTATTTTCTGCAATTTTCTGGGGGAAAAAAATCTACCTGAAATTTTATAAATCGTAGAAAACCACAAAGCTGAAATTAGAATCAGATTCACTGATGTGGTAAATTGTGGTTTATTTGGTATTCTTGAATTATATTGAGATTGCTTTATTGCTTCTAAATATATAACATCTAAAATTATTATGGTTCTCTTTATTCATTTCCTTTTTGTGCAACCAAACAGGCAGTTTTAATGCTTTTTATCACATGTTTCCTTTAAATCTCTGACCTCTGACCCTTTTACTTCATCAGACTAAAAACGTGATTTGGACCTACATTAAACTCAATATGCGAAGTGATTAAAACAAAAGACAAAAGCAGATCATTTAAATATAAAAACATTTTTAATACATTTTTGTCTATAGATCATAGAGTAATTAATAAAATTTGGAAATATTCTGTGCTGCACTTTCAAATTTTGTCTCAGCTTTTTTATTACTATGATTTGACTTTAAGGGAAAACATATATTAGCTTTTTCCTACCTGATCAATGATGGCGTCCAGAGTGCTGAGCAAAAGGAAGCCCCGCCCCCTGACCAGGTACTCGCCCAGTGCCACCATGTGACTCTCCTCCTCATCTTCATCCCGCGCCTCGGCTCTCTGGGCCACCGCGCTGCATAGCTGGTGCACATCCGTCAGAAACTCTCTGGCCAGGGTGTTACTGGCCCCACTCATGTCTGAGCTACAAGGAAAGACAAAATGTCAAAAGGCTGCGGCAAAAATCAAATTATTTACAAAATAGAGCTTCCTGAACACAGATCACGTATATGAGGTAATCTTTAATGCAAGAAAGATTTCGGGGGGGTTTTAATCTAAGGTTGCAAAAAAAAAAAAAAACGGAAATCTGGATTGTGTGATTATCCCTCCTCATGCTTTTCAGAGCAGCCCCAAGCTGTTGCACATGTTTGCAACAAGCACGTGTCTCTTAAGAGGTTCTCTTTTCCACAAACTACTGAAAATCCTTTTAAAGTCAGCAGAACCTTTAACACATGGCACCAGGACGGCATAATAATTAGAAACCACAAAAACCATGAAGGTAGCACTAGCAATGCAGCCGTTTTAAGGTTGTTTTTCTATGTCTTAAAACAGTCAAATAAAACCCAGAGACCCATCAAAAAGCACAGATCCACACATACAGTCTGCATGGTCTTACCAAATGTTGCAGGAAAAAACGGTTTCCCTCCACACATCTTGTATGCGCTCCAAACTTGACTCAGTTCTGCTAGCTGGATGTGCACACTTCCTCACATGACTACTGACTGATTTCTCTGTTCTGCTGCACAAATTCCATTAAATCGGAATTTCAAATGGAGGCTTTCCAGATTCGCAGCATATCAGCATATCACATGAAAGCATGTGATGTCACATGGCGAAGGGACTGGTCTTGGTAACACTGACAAGCACCCAGTGCCCTGCGGAAGACCTCAGTCGGCAACCGTCATTGATAGACACTGGCGTTTGTATTTTCCACTACAGCTACTGGGAGTGTCTTTAAAAGCAAAGAAAAGGGATAGCAGGCCAAAGTATTATAATATAAACCCATTATCTGACTAAAAATGTATAAATTCATTAAAATAATACAATAAACACACAGTATTTTTGACTAGTTTCTAGTGTAAATGTCTTAGTAGTCATGAAATAAAACAAAATTAGCTCACATTAATTTTTCCCCAAGATATAAAAAAGCTCGTTTTAAGCCAATAATTCTAAGTCTATAGACTTTATTTTCCACTTATAACATCTTTTTTTCTACATTTTTCTTGTCTTTTTCCTGGAAAAAAAAGCATTGATAGAGAAATTACTGTCTTCAACTACTTACAGTCCTTCCTTCTTCCCCCTATGGAAATGTGCTCATGTCTCAGTGCTTTTGTACTTTCTGTCTCTTTCCTTCGTGCTCAACCCCCATCTAGTTGCCCCAGAAAGCTGATTATACTAAGCCTGGTTTCCTTCTCCTCTTTTTCTTTTCCTCTTTCTGTGAAGACCCTGTCCACTGCTGATCAACCATCATCAACCACTCTGCTCCATTATCCCGTTTTTACTAAGTAGCACATATGACGAACTGAATTTGACGGTATTGTGTTATAACTGGATTTAATTGAACCGTAATAGTATCTGAATATGTGCTTGGATGGAATGGATACAACATGCAGTGCAAATACAACATGAAGAGACTTTCTATCTCTAACTAGATGTTAACAATGTTTCTGCTTTAGGCTATCCAGCTTATGATATCTGAATTAATCGATTATTGTGACGACCAATCGATTAATCGGATGAAAAATTGGCACATTCTACAAATATTTCATGTAAACATTCTCTTCACAATATTAGAAATACCGTAAAGATGCAAATGAACAAAGACTTCAATTAACTTTTTTAAACAAAAAAAAAATATACAATTTTATTTCCAAAAATGCAATATAATGTATTCCTTCCATCATTTGTAGCAAAGAATGCAATTTAATTTCCATTTGGGATCAATAAGGTAGTTTTGAATTTGAATTTTACTCTCCAGCTAAAAAAAATATTACCAATGTTTGAAAAGCTGAGTCATTTCAGCTTGACTATCAATCTAAATAATAATAATTAGGTAGAAAAAGGTGCTTCATTATGTGAAGCTAAAGCTGCCAACTAGAGGAGTTCTGGGTTGAACAAATGTACTGACAAAGGTTGTTTGTTTATCTTAAACACAAAGTACATACATATATAGATATATATATATATATATATATATATATATATATATATATATATATTTTTTTTTTTTTNAGAATAATCAGTTAGCTGCAGCTCTTGTTTAGTTACATGGAGATTCAATAAAAACAAGTGTTTACACAGTAGACCGATAAGCAGGCAAACTAGAGAAGCAGCTTTTGTTATGAGCTGACTAACTCTGACTCAGCATGGGTGGAGCTACAGATTTTCTAAAAAAAAAAAAAAAAAAAAAAGCAGTTGATTGAGCAGAGATGAGAATCTGAAGGCATGACTCAGCAGAAAAGAGAAACATCTTTTTCAATGCTTTGCATGTTAAGCAGGTTTGCTACCTCAAAAAGGAGTGGCGCACAAAGCAAATACTTATCCAACCTTTGGCCTGTTTGACAATAAAATGAGATTTATCATAATGACCAGATTAAGTGCGACAATTGGGACTAATGCATGGATATTACACAAGATTTCAGGTTGTAGACATAAAAAAAAAAAGAAGAAGAAAGAAATCAAGTTTTTTTTTTCTAGGTTTTGCCTCACCTCTTGCTGACTGGTCTCCAGTGCCCACCACCACTGTGAACTGTACCAGGATACGAAGGCCAGGTTCTCAGCAGAGAAAGCAAAGGCCCAGAACACCAGCAGGGCGGTGCTGTGACCCCTCGTCCGGTCCATCAGGGGGACCCTCCGCCTCTCCACCCAGAGCACGCCCAATGCCCAGGACCACCCCAGCATCGAGAAGCAGCCGTACAGCACCACGTAACCCGGGAGCTCCCCGCCGTCGGCCGCTCGCCACACCAGCCCAGCCAGGAATTGGAGCAAGAGGACAATGGTGAGGACCAGCTGGAGGCCGTAGAGGTGGGAGCGAGGGATGAATTTGGACTCCATGGGGGTGCCATACTTCTGGTAGCAGATGCAGTGGACGGTGCCGAGGAAGAAGCAGATGGAGAGCAGGATGGTGGAGATGAGGGTGAAGTGGAAGCAGGGGGAGATACCCAAATCCACCCAGGTGTGGGAGATGGAGATGTTTCCCTCACAGTAGCTCTGGATGAACACCATCACTGCAGCCGTGGAGCAGACGTAAGAGAGAAACAATAGGAGATAGGTAGTTGATTACTTCAGTCGTTCAATTAAAAAGTGGAACACAAGCAAGATGAAGATCCAGTGTTTTAACCTACTTATGTTTATTTTTAAATCCCTGCCATGCTGTATTCAAATTCTAATACATAATGTTTGGATTTTCCCATAAAATTAACAGAAATAAATGCTGACATTCATAGCATGCTGCGTGCAGGTAACTGTTATATTATATATGTTTCCTTTTTCTTTCTAAACAGAAAAGAGGCACAGTAAAGTGCGCAACATTTCTCCACGAGAGCCGCTACAATGATAAACGTGCATCAAAATATGGAAACAGTTCACATTTAAACTGCGGCATACTGAGAAAAATGAGTAGCAAGCGTGCATTTACAGCTCTCCAAATACATTTGACGTTCAGTTTCGCTGTTGTTGGTGTGTGAACCTTACCTTGCTCGTCCAATTCAGATAATATAGAGTAGAGCCTGCACTTATCGCCAACAGAGATTAGCCGTCCGGTGGGAGGTTAACCGGTTTGTTGTCGCCAACACCCTCGGTTTTAAAACTAAACAGCCGTATCTAGCTGAAGCTTCAGCTTCTTCTACGCTGTGTTTCTGTCATTGCTGCTCTCAGCCGGGCGGATAAAAGCTCCAATACAGTTCGTCCTTGTAGCGTCAGGTGTTAAACAACAGCTATCCATGACTCGGCAATCGACGCTTACGCAACGACGTCTGACTGGACGGCAGCTTACCGCGCCCCCCAGTGGACGAAAAATAAAACGATCCGTTCGAAAAATTGGAATATTATTAAAAAGGTTTATTTATTTCAGTATATTAATCCGCTAAGTCAAATACAAAATATATAGATTCGTTACACTGAATGTGATTTCAAACCTTTATTTCTGCTAATTGTGATCATTTTCTGCTCTAAGCGAATAAAAACACAACATTTAAAATTAGAAGATGAGCACAGAGGTGGATAAAGTACTCAAATGTACCACTAATGTAACATATTATTACTCAAATAATAAAAAAAACTAGCTGTCAAAGATGTAAGAGTAAAAAAGTAAAAAGGCTTTTGAAGTACTGAGTGATCAGATCATCTGATTTAATATTTCAAAATTATTTCATCAGACAGACAAATATAATCTGCAAATTCTGATATTTTAGGCTAAAATGAAGATTAAAACAAATAAATAACATAATTGCAACAAATTTAAGAAGAACAAACAAAATGTGATGTTAATTGTATCTTCTTTATCCCTAAATGACACCACAGGCTTAGCAGACAGGAAATAGCTCTTGTCACTTTATATTAAAGTTATGTGTCTGATGCATTTTTGGTTGAAACATTTGCTCTTATTTCAGTGATTGTTAGTCCAGCGACTTCAGGGTACAGAGGTTACTCAAGTGTGCAAAGATACTGAGGTAAAAATACTCCTAAAAGTATCTTCACTTTCAAAAAGTTATTGAAGTAAATAAATGTAAGTAGTTACCGACCTCTCAATATGGTCATGTATACATCCATCATTTTACAGACTGGCAACGTATCCAAAATGGAACCAGCTTCTCAAGACACCAAAATCCCATAAATCCTGCAATAACAAACCAGTTCAGCTGGACAGATGGGAGGATATGTTTTCTTTTGAATGTTTTTTTTTTGTCTTTACTTGTGTTGCATTTTTCAATTATCTGAAACAGTTAAGTGTGACATGACAACAACAACAACACAAAAACCAAAAGCCGGTGTGGACCCTTATAGACACTTTAAAAGTGTTGAAATCAAATCTGACAGAGTTAATCTGGGCCTCCTGGATTTGCTGTGTTTAGACGATGTTGAGAAAATAAATTTAAAATAAGCTAGTTTTAAAACTTAACATGTCTTGATTCAAATACCCTAATTGTGGTTTTGAAATTAGTAATGTATTCTGACTCTTTGACCTTTATGTTACCTGTAGTTACAGCAGAAGGTTTGCTAGGATCGTTTCAACTGCCTTTTGTCTGTGTGGGAAAACGGTAACAGTCCTTGTGATAAATTACTTCTGAACCAGAGACGACATCAGAAGTGGCTTATGTGTGAAAAAGAAATTGGTTTTGAACCTCTGAGTTTTCTGAAGTCCACTTGAACACCATTTTATCCCCTGTAGTGCTGGGAGGTGAACAGCAGATGGCACTAGATGCAAAGGTTTGAAAACAGTCACACAAACGAGGCCCGTGAGTACAAGTTTTTCACCAAATCTTCACACCCGTTCATGCAGGTGGGAGGAGAAACTGCCTCTAGAAGTCACATCACAACACATGAGACGTTATTAACGTCAGCGCATCATCTGACAGCCAAATAAAAGCCCCCAACTGACTGGCTGATGACATTGTCCAGCAGCGACAGGGTTTGTCTTTCACTTAAAGGGGTAATTTCCAGCTCTGGGAACTCACAGAAATACACCATCCTGCAGTGATGAGAGGCTTAAAGCTGAGTGCCTCGCCATTCAAACTGTAAATTCGGGGGTTAGCAAAAAGAAAGGAAAGTGACTCAAACACCAGCTGTTATAGCTGTGCTTTCTCTGGAGGAATAAATTACTCCTCAGAAATAGTCGGCGTACGAAAGAGAGGGTGAAGGCGAAGCATATAACCTGATGTGGAGTGGATAAGAAAAAAATAATAAAATAAAATAAGAGAGCTTGTGATGTCTTATGTGAATTTACCCGCTCTCATACACACACACAAGAGGAAAGGGGAAAAAAAGAAGCTAAATCTTATCATTTAGAGCCTTCACAAAGGGAATAAAGAGCTACTAATCTGCTTCATCTCCCCGGTTCTTTTGTGTGAGTGGAAATGGACCTTCTGTCCACTGGCTGCTTGTCACCCCGCTCCTTTGTCCCCCCCTGTAGATGTGACGGCCTGCCCATCACAAACCTCATCTCTCGCCTTCTTTTGTAAGGAACCCTCCGCATACAAGCATCGGCTGGAGCCCTATAAGTCCTTTAGGTGTGTCTGTTCTTGTCCCCAGAGCTGCTTTTTCCACTCGGCCACCTCTTTGTGTTTGCCGCCTGACACATATAGGCAGTAAGAGGTGGGGATAAGATGGATGCTTATGCCAATTTTATCTCTTGATTTAGTGGGAAAGGAATACTGGTGGCATTAGGAGTGCTACGTCCAATCTTATTAGCACCGAAGGCGATCAATAAAGCTTTCGATTGTGCTGAACAGAAGTCACTGGGAGACTCGGCTTTTCGAGCTCGTTTCTTATTAAAGCACCCCGGTGAATCGCCTTTGCTGCCTTTAATATACGCCAGTCGCTCTTGATATTGTTTATGTTTAATCAGTTCAAGCACAGCGTTTCGTGTGGGGAAACATTTGCAGTGTCATATAACCCTCAGATCATTTTTTGTCTCATGCGTTGTGTGATTTCGGCCACTCTTTTTGCAATTTCTTGAATTTCACAGTAAATGAGAGCAAATCTACCCAAAGACTTTTACTCAAAAGCGTTCTTGAGGCACCCAAATTTGCTTTTAGATAATGTCTTAAACTTGGCTTAAAATAGCATATTAGACACAAAAAGCGACCCCAATCTTGTTCCTATTGTTGAGAATTAACATTTTCTTTTTAGTCGAGACCTAAAAAGAACATTTCAAACTGAGTTAGTTTAGTCATTTTTTTTGGACTCACAAATACTTTCAGTTGAGGATGTTTGGTCCACTTGACAAGCGGCTTGGCAAACACGGCCCTCTGGTTCAACATGGTGGTGGCAGCATAAATCAGGTCAGAAACGGTGGGAAGATGAACAGAGCTAAAAACTGGAAGAAAACCCGTGAACCTGGACAATTCTGGAATAGTTCAAATTAAAGCATATTGATGCACTAGTCCACTATCATTGGAATCTCTGACGTTCACAGACACTCTTCATCTGAGCCTGACAGAATTTGAGTTATTTTCCAACAAGAAACGTGCAGAACTGATGTGACAAAATGCCCGTGACTCCGGTTTCACACTTTAGATAAATGCCGAATGCTTTCTAAGAATCAAAAGGCGTATCTGTCCGGGAAAGACTTCCAGCTGGACCTCACTTTCCTACCGAGGTCAAGTCTGCACTGTCCATCTCTGCCGACCTGCAGCGAGAGTAACTCATCCACCTTTCCTTTACCGCGAAGAGAACAGCTCAGGGGATAAGATCTGCTGTCAACCAGCTCTTGACAAACACAAAGAGGGTCCTCTGCACTGAGATTGAACTGAACCTGAGCTGCAGTCCAAGACAGACAGAGAGAATGGGGGGGCTAACAATTGATTAAGAAGTAGCTGAGATAAAAAAAAAGAAGAAAAGATGAGATTGAATCTCTGTGGTATCGGCATTTGTTGATTTGTAGATATAGATAGGCTGAAGTGGAGGAGTGTAGTTAGAGAACCTCAGAGCCAGACTTCAAACAAAGTGTTACTTTGTTTCTACTTTGATATTTAACTGTTTATGTGATAATCTCTGCACACAATAAAGCAGCTTTAGGGCAAACTAACATTATGTGAGAATGCAGCATCCTGGGACTAATATTATGCAGATTAATTAAATTGCTTATTGTATATCTCATGCACTCAGACTGCGAGACAGGCATGCACTGCTGCACAAGGCTCTGAGGTGAACCGCTGAATTAATATGAGCTCAAAAAGCTGCAACAGAGCTTTTGCTCCTGGCTTTTCTCCAAAAGAATCGGGGATTATTTTGTATTTTCTTAGGGCTACCTTTGTCTGATATCGAAATTAGTTGGAATATCTGAAACATTTAAGCACGGGATAAATATGTAAGGGGGCAACTGCACAAGATTATCATTTATCATTTGATGCAAAAGCATGAGGTTTCTAAATAAAGAGAAGCAAAAAAGAAAATCCACGGTGTAAAACTCCTTCCTGTTGCAGGCAGAAGATCATGGAATTTGGGATCGGCACCAGCACCGATGAAGTCTTTGATGAATGAGAGCAGCTCTTCATGGCCTCCGACGGCCTGCTGTAAATGTCATAAGGTGGATGCAGTTGACCTCCAAACACTTTCATTCAACTTGTGCCAAATCCAGAACCCTGGAGAGAGAGGAAGAGAGAGAGAGAGAGAGAGAGAGAGAGATATTCAGCAGCAGCGATGTGACCATGGCTGCTTCTGGACATCAGGAGTCTGCTGATGAAACGGAAAATCAGCAACTGCAGTATCAGGGAGTTTGGAAACAGCTGTGCTGTGACCTAGTTTGGAGGGTTTGTTTTAGGCTGACTGATGACTGACTGAAATCTACCAAAAACGAGGCACAAGCGAGCAATTTAGAAACGGTGACAGAGATTTCAGATTTAGCTCAGGCTAATGTTTAAATTGTGAACTGGAGGGAAAATTATAAGTTAAATTAAATTCAAATCAGTTCAACTCAGAAATACTTTATGTATCCCGACGGAAAAGTAAATGTTGTCGTATCTCGGATCAATCAAGTGTCTCCAAAACTCTTTGTGGATGGTGATAGCTTGGGCATGAAGGATCTTCAGCAGCAGTCAGTGTTGTAGTGAATTAGAAGAGGCCTCTGACTGAAGACTGCTGTATGCTAACAGCTCAAGATCTCCTAGAGCATCAGGTTTTTGGCAAGGACTGCAAATCCACCTCATTTGCTGTTGCCACACATTTTTCAAATCCCCGACTTAGTTATTATTTGAGCTTTTGAGATGCTAATCCACTGCTTCCTGTTGTAAAATCAATGCCTTGTTGCCTGGTTACG